TAGTTGGCAATCTAATCTAACCCTATTGGTATTTCCACATGCCTTAAATTCTCCTAATATTCCCTATTGCTATTTCCACATGCCTTAAATTCTCCTAATATTCCCTATTGCTATTTCCACATGCCTTAAATTCTCCTAATATTTATCTTGAATCTCATTAGCTGTTGGAAGCCTAATCACGGAGTTTACTGGTCAAATCTGGCCGGACGGCTATCCGCCTGTCAATAACAACAATAAAATACACAAATAAAATAACAAAACCCTTTTGCAAGAAGCCTTGTAGGATTTGGCCAAGAGAGCTATCCAAACCGCATAATTGAAGAACTTGACCATGATATAGAATGGGTGAATTACCTGTCTGCTGCTTATTTGGATGCCTTGATGACAGCAGTGCAGCAAGTTCATATTACTGTGGCCATTTTCGGAAACTTCATTCCTTTTAAAAGCATTTTCAGAGTGTTTAGAACAAAAGTGAACCCACAAGCTTGACCTCTTTTTTTGCTTTTCTAACTGCTTTTACGTTTCCCTCTAATCAGGAAAAGAGCAGATGTGAGGGGCTATTTTTCCTGGTCCTTGCTTGATAATTTTGCGTGGTCATATGGTTGTAGAAGAAGATTTGGACTTTGCCATGTTGATTACACCTCACTGAAGAATTCCAAGACTGTAAGCAACTTGGTTCAAGGAATTTATAGCAAGGTATACGGTAGACAAATCCCAGATACGAGAAGTAACGAGGACTATTCCCTATAAAACAAAGAAGTGTACTTTCCGCAAGGGATACGTCCTCACTGGGCAAACAAAATACAGAACATAGCATAACATGCAATACATTGTTAAATCGTGCAGGTTTTAGATTCTAGATAAAGGGCAATGTCTTTCATCATTCTTATGTTACGAATTAAGAACAGATCGGTTGACTATTTTCTGCAGTTCTGAAAAAAAAAAAAAAAAGAGGATGTCAGATTTCAGATTTAGGCAGTGAAATGAACCCTTGCACATAATTTTTTGTATTCATTTTTTTATTTTTCATTTTTTTTCCTGTTGTAGTGCACATAGTAACATAAGATTATCAATTGCTGACGCGTCCAAGATTAACTATTGGGTGGTAGTCAATCCCGACTAGACATTTCAACATTTGCATAGTATCATCACGTGAATGTAGGCACTAAAAAAAAAAAAGAAAAAAAGTTAACTACCAAAAATGTAGTTTTCTCGTACCAAATGTGTCTCTTCTTTTTTTACTCGGATCTATCTCTTTATTATTATAAATAAATTTTATGTATTTCTTGTTCTTTCACAATATATATATAATCTCTCAAAACTTCTTTCTAAATATTGAAAATCATATAATTCTAAATTTCAAAAACATCAATAGTTATATGCATTCACATCTTCTTGTTACTATGCTAAAAAATCGTTTTGTTATCAAGAATGAAAGGTCTGGAATGAGAATGCAGGAATTGGAATGAAAATTAAGGAATCGGAATGACATTTGTATTCTCATGTTATGTTTGGAACACTAATGAAGAATCGAAATGCAATTTAAATTTTTTAATATCTGATTTTTTATACAAATAAAAATAATGATTAAAAAAATAATTTTATCAAATTATAATGGTTGTAAAAAATAATAAAGATGATGGTGGTAGTAGTGGTCATGGCAGCAATGGTTTTAGTGGTGGTGGTAGTGATGGTACTTACGATGGTGGTTATGGTGGCGAGTGGCAATGGTGGTGGTGGTAAAAGTAGTTAATAGACAATAAATAAATAAAATATATTATTATTTTAAAAAATAAATTTCATTCTCATTTCTTATTTTTATTCCCACATCTTATATGGGAATGAAGTTATATGTAAATTTTCATTCTCATTCCCACTTCATTTCTTTTAACCAAATAGCTACAACGTAAAAATAAAATTTTCATTCTCATTCTCTCCACTCTATTACCGATTATCAACAGCACCTAATTGCATAAGCAATATTAACAATACATTTATTTTTTATTTTAATTCACATTTTACTTATCATCTATATCATTATCAACACCGCTACCAAAAGTCCTAGACATTCGACTCTCAAACCAAAAAACTTGATCACTAAACTTTTTCATATTGATTATATCCCTTCTCAACCTACTATAAAAAGTTTAACAAGTTATTAATAGGGGTGATCATTCGGTTAAACGGTTCGATTTTGTACAATTCGGTTCGATTTTTTGTTAATCGAATTAAGAAAAATCAAAATCAAAATCGAACCGAAATAAATCCGATAAATTTTTTTTGTAACCAAATTATTTCGGTTTGGTTTTGAAATATTTCGATTTTAACCGAAATATTTTGTTGTAAAAAAAATCATTACGGAGAGATGTTTTGTACTAGCACTTTGTCCACTAGCTAATGAAGTAACATCTTGTTATCAATTAATCCTTTTTATAGACAATCACAAAGCCCTTGAAGATTTTAACTAGGTTTTAATGAAAACCAGTCCAAGTGTAATTGATTTTGTCATTCAAACACACCGTATCCCAATTAATTACACTCTGTCACTTTCTTTTCTTACCCCAATGGTCCTCAAAATTTACTTCTCATCTACGTGTTTCGGTTTTAACAAGAATGAAGATTGAGAAGTTAGGGATTTAGAAATTAGAAAATGTTTTACTATTTATTTCGGTTTTCGGTCGAAATCGAAATTTTTTTTCTAAAAACCGAACCGAATCGAAATAATTTCGATTTTTTCGATTCGATTTTATATTGTATAATTTTACATTTAAAACCGAACCAAATTTCATAATTCGATTCAGTTTTATTCGATTTTCGGTTAACCGAACCGTTTGCTCACCCCTAGTTATCGATCACGTAAAACTTATGTCACCATTCATATGTTGGTAGATCTTCTCCCTAGACGGATGAGACAATATTTTTTCTTTGTAAATTTCTTCATTGGCCAACCATTTATTCCACAAATAACAATCATAATTGAACCTTATATATCTTTTGTTTTTTCTATATTTAATCTTAATTAGACCTTATATATATTTGGACTAAATGATATAATATTAAATTTGTCTAGACAAGTAAAAAGAATTTAGTATTTTCAAAAAGTAATTTTTTTACTAATACAAAGTAATAATTTTTTTAATAAGTAGAAAATGCCATGAGCATGATATAAAAAAATATTTATTAGTAATGCAATCAAGTGAAAATTGTTGTACTAATTTCTTGATCTCGAGGCAACAAATTTTTTTAGATAATTGTATTGTTAGTGCCCAATCTTAAATTTATTTTCTCGTTTCAATGTCCAACCTTTGTTTTTATTTTTTTTCTTTTATTTGCATGTCTATAGTCACTTGAAAGTATGAATTATTGACATGTCCGAGATTTATCGTCATCTAGTATTTTTTATTGTCATGTGGCAATTAATTCCTACATGTCAATAATTCATACTCTCAAGTGACTAAAAACACCAAAATGGAAAAATAAATAAATAAATAAAAGGCTAGGTAGCAAAACGAAGAAATTACCGAGTTAGGTAGTAAAAATCAAAGGTTCGGCATCAAGAATGTCATTTTTTAGATTTCTAACTATCAATTCCGCCTCTAAAAACGATTCAATTATAGGTGTTTTGAGTTGATGTTTAGCACACACGTTGAAAAAAATCTAATTCATTTTTTGAAAAAAAAATATCACTGAATTCTTCAAGGTTGAAAAGGATTTTTTTCTGAACATTAAAAATATAAATATTGAGAAAAATAAAAAATAACCGAGGATGATCCTTTTTTTTTTTTTTTTTTGAAGATTTTCAGATAAATCCTATTGAATGATGTCTATCATGAAGCTATTTATGTGACATTATTTTTTACATAAAACTAGAAGATAGACTAAATCTTAAAAAAAAAAAAAAAAAAAAAAAAAAAAAAAAAATTCAAGGGAGTTCAAACCAAAAATTAAAAATTTAGGTATTGATTTTTAAAAAATTTTAAATTCAGTCGATATTTACCTATTTAACTCGAATAGTATGCATACATTATCAAATCCAAGAAAAAACACTAATGAGAAATGTTGAGCTAAAAAGACTTGTATTGTGTACAATCGAGGTGAGCGATTAGGATGATAATTTGCAGTATTCGTCAAATAAATATTCATTAAATATATCCAATGTGTATTGAAACACGTTTGGGTAAAGAAAATATATACCTGCTAATATGCCTTCTACTTTTTAATACACTACAAAAAGAAAAAAAAGCCGAAAAAATTGTGATAATTTTGACGCCACAATTTGCAACTAGGTTTGACCTATTATCGCAATAATTCATCGTTGATTTCTATAGCAATTTCGTCACTAATTAACCGTTCTCTAAAACACCTAAAAAGATTTTGACACTACAAATAAGTCCGTCACCGATAAACCATCGTCAAACCATTTTTGTTTTGTCTCTAAATCCCATAAATACTATTCGATTGTTATTTATTTGTTATTTAGTGATAGATTATAATTTGTTGTTAGAATTCGTCACTAAATTCCAGTTTTGTTGTAGTGATACCTTCTAATTAATTAACAAAAAACACACTTTAACATTTAGTTACTTGATTGGAAAAATTATTAATATAATAACTTTTTTTTTTTACATATAAATATGAGAACCAAAAATCATGTAATTTAAGAACATATTTATAAAAAATATATATAATTAAGGATAAAATAACTTTTTTTTAACAAATCGTAGGAACTAAAATGAAAATATGTGGCAAACTATTTTTTAACCGGTATGAACCCGCAGTACCCGATATGGGTGGAATATATTTTGGATAAAGATTGAGAGAGTAATTTCTTAATAAATACGTATCTGATAGTTTTTAACAGAATATAATATGTAAACCATGTGTAGTTACTGGATGCCATGGAAGGACCTATTCCTATTTCGGCTCTATTAATTTTTCTTGTAGCTTGATTTCTTTTTAAATAATCCGTACTTATTCATTCCTATCCTTACAAAATATAGGATAGTTTTAACAGAATAAAATATGTACAAGAAGAGGTGGAAGATAGGGACATAGTTGGCAATCTAATGTAACCCTATTGCTCTTTCCTCGTACCTTAAATTCTCCTAACATTTATCTTGAATCTCATTAGTTGTAGGAAAACTAATCACGGAGTTTACCTGGTCCAATCTCTGGACGGTGATCCGCTGGACAAACAGCAGAGTAAAATATACAAATAAAATAACAAAACCCCTTTCAAGTGGAGCCATTGCCTGAGATTGGGATACGTGTTAAATAAGCACCAACTTTTTAGGTAAATATAACTTAGTTCCTGTATTTGTGATGATTTTGCACCTTAGTCCTTTTTTCGAAAAGCATATATTGGTCCCTGATCAAAGTTGATCATTACTATTTATTTTTTTATAAAATTTTAAAACTTCCTTTTTAAATGTACTTTTAATTTTATAAGATTGATTTTTTTTTAATTATAAATGAAGGATATTTAACGCCAAAAAAGGAAAAAAAAAACAAATTAATTGTGATGAAAAACCAACACAAGGATCAAGTTATGTTCAAATAAGAAAACATAGGGACTTAAAATCGGACTTTGTAAAAAAAAATGATTAACTTATTTCATAAAAAAGTACAGGGATCGAATGATAATCGACTCCAAATTTTAAATTTTTAAACTGCCTGCCTGTTAGCTTTGACAGTTTAGAGTAAATTATAAATTAGTCCTTCTAGTTTAGAAAAATAAATAAATTAATTCTTTTAAAAAATAATTATTTAGTCCTTATATTTTTAAATTTTCTTCTAACTTAATCTCGTTTGCTCTTTTTTAATTTATTTTAACTTATTTCAATATTTCATGCATAGTCTCATTAGGTGAATGTAGGCACTAAAAAATAATAATAAATAAAGGTTGAGTACCAAAAATCTAGTTTTCGAGTACCAAATGTGTCTCTTCTTCTTTTACTTAGATCTATCTCTTTTTTATTATAAATAAATTTTATGTATTTCTTGTGCTTTCACAAACTTTATATATAATCTCTCAAAATTTCTTTTTAAATATTCAAAGTCATATAATTCTAAATTTTAAGAACATCAATAGTTATATGCATTCACATCTTCTTGTTATTATACTAATTGCTCAAACAATATTAACAATGCATTCCTTTTTTATTTTAATTCATATTTTACTTATCATCTCTATCATTATTATCATCGTTACCAAAAGTATCGTATCTTCAACTCTCAAACAAAAAAACATGATCACTAAACTTATTCATGTTAATTCTATCCCTTTTCAGCCTATTATAAAAAGTTTAACAAATTATTGGTCATAAAAAACTTATGTCACCTGTGATATGTTGGTCAATCTTTTTCCCTAGATGGATGAAACAAATTTTTTTCTTTGTAAATTTCTCCATTGGCTAACCATTTATTCCACAAATGCAAATCATAATTGGACCTTATATATCTTTTGTTTTTTCTACATTCAATCTTAATTAGACCTTATATATATTTAGACTAAATGATATAATGTTAAATTTTTTTGGACAAGTAAAAAGGGTTTAGAATTTTCAAAAAGTAATTTTTTACTAATATAGAGTAATAAATTTTTTTTGAAAAGTAGAAAATGCCATGAGCATGATATAAAAATATTTATTAGTAATGCAATAAAATGGAAATTGTTGGACTAATTTCTTGATCTCGAGGCAATAAATTTTTTGAAAAAATTATATTTTTAGTGCCCAATCTTAAATTCATTTTCTATTTCAATCTCTAACCTTATTTTTATTTTATTTTTCTATTTGAGTGTCAACAATCACCCGAAAGGACGAATTATTAACATGTCTAAGATTTATCGCCACTTGGTATTTTGATTGTCACATGGCAATTAATTCTTAACATGTCGGCAATTCATAATCTCAAGTGACTAGAAGCACCAAAATGAAAAACAAATAAAAAAAAATCAAAGGTTAGGTGGCAAAACAAAAGAAATTACAAATAGGGTAGAAAAAAAATCAAGAGTTCAACAACAAAAATGTCACTTTTTCGATTTCTAACTATTACTTCGCCTTTAAAAAGATTCAATAATTGGTATTTTGAGTTGATGTTTTGCACACGTGTTGAAAAAATTCTAATTCATTTTTTGAAAAAAAAAATCTCTAAATTCTTTAAGTTTGAAAAGGAATTTTTTTCCGAACATTAAAAATATTAAAATTGAGAACAATAAAAAATAACTAAGATTGATCTTAATTTTTTTTTTTTTTTTGAAGAATTTCAGATAAATCCTAGTGAATGATTTCCATCATGAAACTATTTATGTGACATTATTTTGACTTAAAACTAAAGAATGGACTAAATTTTTTTAAAAAATCAAGGTAAAACCAAAAATTAAAAGTTTAGGTATTGATTTTTAAATAGATTAAAGTTTGGTAAAGCTTTGACCTATTAACTCGAATAGAATAATGCATACATTGTTAAATCCAAGAAAAAACTAATGAGAAAATTAATGTTGATTTGAAAAGACTTGTATTGAGTTCAATCGAGATGAGCAACTAGGATGACAATTTGTAAGTGTCTCGTCCAATAAATACTTATTAAATATATCCAATGTGTAGTGTTAATATAATAAATTAAAAAAAAAATTGTACATATAAATATGAGAACAAAAAATCTTCTAAGTTAAGAACTTATTTTTAAAACTATATAAAATTAAGGATCAAAATAACTTTTTTTTACAAATGGTAGGAGCTAAAATAAATATATATGGCAAACTATTTTTTAACCCGTATGAACCCGCATCAAATGTACTTCTGTGGGTGGAATATATTTTAGATAAAGATTGAGAGAATAATTTCTTAATTAGTATGTGTCTGATAGTTTTTAACGGAATAAAATATGCAATCAATTTAAATAATCTATACTTGTTCATTACTATCCATAAAAAAATATATGATTAATTTAATAAATCAGATATATATTCCATTACCAACCCTAGAAACAAATACATGCATGGACTCTTAATACGAGGTGGAACATTGTTGGCAATCTAATCTAACCCTCTTGCTCTTTCCTCATGATGCCTTCAATTCTCCTATATAATATTTATCTTGAATCTCATTTGTTGTTGGAAAACTAATCACGGAATTTGATCTGGTCAAATCCGTGATTAGTTTGTTGGAAACCTAATCCGGAATTCAATTCTTTTTTGTACTGCTCCTAAATCCAGGACGGTGATATTCCGCCGGTCAGCAACAGCAATAAAATAACAAGACCCTTTTCAAGTGCTGCCGTTGCCTGAGATTGGGATACATGCATATTACGAAAGCACCAATTTTTTAAGTAAATATAACTTAGTTCCTGTGCATTTGTGATGATTTCATATGTTAGCCCTTTTATTTTTGGAAAGCATATGTTAGTCCCTGATCCAAGTTGATCATTAATTTTTTTTTTTTGAAAATTTTAAAATGTAGTTTTTAAATGTACTTTTGATTTCATAAGATTGAAAATTTTTTATGTAAATGAAGGATATTTAAAGCCAAAAAAAAAAAAAAACAAATTAATTGTGATGAAAAACAAACACAAGAATCAAGTTACCATCAAATAAGAAAACATAAGGACTTAAAATAAGATTTTGTAAAAAAAATGATTAACTTATTTCATAAAACAAAATACAGGGATGGAATAATAATCGGCTCCAAATTTTATATTATTAAACTGCCTACCGTTAGGTTTGATAGTTTAGAGTAAATATTAGTCCTTCTAGATTAGAAAAATAAATTAATTAATCATTTGTGTTTTAAGAACTAATTATTTAGTTTTTGTATTTTTAAATTTTTTTCAACTTAATCTCTTTTCTTCTTTTTTAATTTTTAATTTTAAGAAATAGAAAAGCGAAAAAATAAGTAAAAACAAAATTAAAAAATTAATGAGAAAAGATAATATTTTATGAAATAAAACAATATTAAATTAATTATACTTACACCGACCCATAAGCTAAATAATTAATTTTTAAACAAAAAAAGACATTCATTTCTAAAAAGGACTGATTTATAATTTACCCTGTTACTTTAGGATTGAACCATTCAGGAAAAAGATTTCCTCTGCAGGCTTTACGTCACTTTCATTTTGTTTAGTTTTTGACTTTTGCCATTCTGATTAGACAACGTATCTGAATTCTTCTTTACGCTACCAAGCAGACAACCCTGCTTATATATATATATGTGTATGCAGAAGCACAAGCACGTACAGAAAAGGAATTGCATTATCTAGCATGGGAATTTCTTCACTTTGTAAAGTTCTATTTCTTTTACAGCTGAACTTGCTACCTCTCTTTGTATCTTCTGATACAAAAAATGTTCTGAAAGAGAGTTCAGATTCTTCTCCATTACCTGCCAACTTTCTCTTTGGGACTGCCTCTTCTTCTTATCAGGTTTTTCACCTCTACCATTCTGCTCTTTCCCTTACATTTCACTGATCATAACTCTAAGGCTTTCTTTCGTCTTCCATTTTGTAGTTTGAAGGAGCTTACCTGAGTGATGGTAAAGGTTTGAACAACTGGGATGCTCATGCCCATAAACCAGGTAAGAACTTACTTTCTTCTTATCCAAGAAACTAAAAATCGTCAAGTTTTCTTCAAAGCAATTTTACTACTTTTAAGCAGGATTTAGACCTTTCTGTTTCTTATTGTAGGCAACATACTTGATAGAACCAATGGAGATGTCGCCGTGGACCAATATCATCGGTATCTGGTACTGACAATATTATCAATCTCTATGGTCTCTCCTGTTTCTTATCCTCTGTGTTTGGACAACATATTCGATATCTCTATCATAAAGTCCATGTTTCAGCTTTCTTCTAAAATCAGAAACTATTAAAAAAAATGCTACCCACAATCACAACATTATCGTGATAAAAAATTTAAAATAAAATAAAATAAAAACAACTACAACATTCATAATTTAATTATAAAATATTGTAGATGCAGATTCAACAATCAAATGGCACTGTTTTCTGAAAAAAAAAATAGTATATTTTTTATTTCTCTCTTAAGATAACTTCTTTTTTTAAAAGATTTAATTTTTTGTTTTTTTAATCTGATATTTTGCACATATGTTGAAAAAAATTAAATCCATTTTTTTTAAAAAAAAAAGAGTCTAGAATTTTTTAAATTTAAAATGTATATTTTTTATTTTCTGAATATTAAAAAGATAAAAAAATCAGAAAATAAAAAAAATAATTCAAAATATCCTAATTTTCTACTTTACATTAAGAAAATAAATAAAATTCACAATTTTTCATTTAACAATAAAAAGTGTCAATTGACCGGCTTATACGTCAATTGAAACTAAGTTTTTTTTAGACCAACCAACCGATTCATTCTCCATATATACATAGTGTATTAAAAAATATTAATTCTATAAAGTTAGCTTGGTGGATAAAAAAGTTTTCTTTTTCCTTTATTAACTTTTTTAATTCAAATCTTGAAACTAGTGTCCATAAAAATATTCACTTGCAGATATCAGATGGAGATGGAAGTGCACTTTTAAAATCATTCCAAGATAGGCTTTAGTCTCTATCTAACCAGAAAAGATAACAATCCAAACAAAGTATTATCAAACATAAATGTTAATAGTAATAGTAATAAGAAGAAACATCGTCTGGCTTAATGCGGTATTGGCTTGGTCTCTATTTTTTCTCTCAGAATAACAACTGTAATTAGGCCGAATATTGTAGTTGAGTGATGTACAAATTAATAAATTAATTAAAACTAAATGGAGCTTATTTTTATACAAAGCAGTTCTTAACTTTAATTAATGTTATAGCAAAGTCCATGTATTTTTATGGCTTGACTGCACTTCCAGCAATTTGGTTGTCTCTAGGCTCATACCGAAGGGCTTGGTGTCAGCCCAACTTCAGCCCTCGTTTTTTTTTTTTTTTTTTTTATGCTTTTAATTTTTTTTTCATGATTTTAATTTACTCAAAATATATATATATATTTTTTCTTTATAATCTATGGTTACCTTTTCTCCATAAATTGCTAAACTAGGTTTCTAATGCAACAGCTTTAATTTCACTAAAGATTTATTGAATGATCTTAACAGGAAGACATCGATTTAATGGACTCCCTCGGAGTCAATAGCTACAGGTTCTCAATTTCGTGGTCACGAATTCTACCTAGTAAGCTATTTATGAACTCAGGATATTTTCAACTGGAACTTACATGAATAAAACATAAAGCTGATATGAAAGTTGTTTCAATTTGGATACAGAAGGAAGATTTGGAGGTATTAATCAGGCTGGCATTAGCTACTATAACAAGCTCATCGATTCTCTCCTGCTTAAAGGTTTACTTTCCTTAACCAAAGAAGCCCTTGAGAAATATCATCATAAACTGGAAAATATCTTCAATTTCAAAGTTTATGTTATGCATTTGTTTTTCTCAAACTTGCTTCAGGAATCCAACCATTTGTGACATTAGCACATTATGATGTACCTCTAGAGCTGGAGAAGAGATATGGTGGATTGTTAAGTCCTAAATCCCAGTAAGTACAAGTCTGTGGAGTTTGCTATCTATAAACTAGACATCCAATTATCTAGTTATATATATATATATAGGCTATAAGAATTAGCTGATTCCTTTCTTTCATTTTTCTTAAACAGGGAGGATTTTGGATATTATGCTGACATCTGTTTCAAGAACTTCGGAGATCGAGTAAAGTATTGGACCACCTTCAATGAGCCAAATGTACAAGCCATTAGAGGCTATCGCACGGGTGAATACCCACCAAGTCGCTGCTCCAGTCCTTTCGGAAATTGCAGTCATGGGGATTCAGAGAAGGAGCCCTTTATTGCAGCGCATAATATAATCTTAGCTCATGCAACTGCAGTTGATATTTATAGAACAAAATACCAGGTATTTAAATCATAACAATGTCTTTGATATCATTTATTTACCCTTCATTAGAGGCGTCTAAAAGAAAAGGAAAATGAGGAAAGCAGACACTGATCAGGGCAGATAAACTTACTAGTACTCCCTGTTAAATTATTCAGAAGGAACAAGGAGGCAGCATTGGGATCGTCATAGCTTGCAGTTGGTTTGAACCTATTAGCAATTCCACAGCAGACAAGTTATCCGCTGACAGAGCTCTAGACTTCTACATGAACTGGTTCATTTATTTACCCTTCTAACGTGACTTCAATGCATGTTTAAATGCAATAAATCCATTTGGCATATGACACCCGTTGAATCTTAAATATAATGCAGGTTCTTGGACCCAATCATTTTTGGAAAATATCCTGCAGATATGTCCAGAATTCTAGGGTCTAGTTTACCGAAATTTTCAAGTAAAGACCGACAGAAACTGAAGAATGGACTGGATTTCATTGGCATCAATCATTACACTACTGAATACAGCCAAGACTGCATCTTCTCTATTTGTGAACCCGGAACAGGAGCCTCCAGGACAGAAGGTTTTGCCCGAAAAAGTCAAGAAAAAGATGGAGTTTCCCTCGGCAAACCTGTATGTACCCTCTCAAGTTAACACAATCATCAGAATTAATGTTTGCTTCTCAGGAATTTGCTTATGGTTTTTGATTAATGTAGACTGGAGTGGATTGGCTACATGTATATCCCCAGGGAATGGAGAAGATTGTTACCTATATAAAGGAGAGATACAATAATATACCCATGATCATTACAGAGAACGGTAAGTATCACTAGAATTCCTTCAAGCAGACAAACTTTTTCATGTCTTTCTCATACAATTGCAATGAGTTCTGTAGGGTATGGCCAGCTGGACAATCCGAACCGCTCCATTATTTGTCATGATATAGAAAGAGTGGAATACATGTCTGGCTACTGGGATTACTTGTTGATAGCAATGCAGTAAGTTCATATTGTGTTTGCATTTCGTATTGACTCAACTAGCTATTACCATGGTCATCCATCCCCTTTTCAGATCTAAGTTCAGAGTTTTACAAACACAAAGCATAAACCCTGTTTTCTTTTCCATGTGAGCAGGAAAGGAGCAGATGTGAGGGGCTATTTTGCCTGGTCCTTGCTTGATAATTTTGAGTGGTCATATGGTTATACAGTAAGATTTGGGCTTTACCATGTTGATTACACCACAATGAAGAGAACTCCAAAATTATCAGCAACTTGGTTTAAGGAGTTCATAGCAAGGTATAAGGTAGACAAATCGCAAATGTGAGAAGTGATAAGGACTTCTCCCCTTGAACACAGAAGTGTGCTTTCCTAGGGATATCCCCTCTATATAGCAGTTACAGAGTAGGTAGAAGCAGCAAAGCTTGGAAAGAAGCTCATTGATTCAATAATTGGCTTGTGTATTATTTATATTTGCTCAATTTTCTTTGCCAGTTGATCGCTAAGCGATTGTCTTTTGTATATACCAGATGGGTCTAGCCCAAGAAGGGTCATTTCTACAGTGAAGTATGTCATGTACATATAAATTTATAGAAACAGACTTATAATGGATTATTTACTACTGCCAAGTACCAACAGAGTACAGACTCTTAAAATAGGATTTGAAAATGAAGAACTAACATTTTCAGTTGTCTCAAGTATGCAATCATGGTCAACTACCCCCAATTATATATCAGGAATCTCATCAAACATATAACAAAGAATAATTTTCCTAAAGTAAGTCCACAGCTACAAATATAAATTGAGACCTTGTCGTTGCAGCATCACAGAAGGGCACTGCCAAACATATCACGAGAGCTCCTTCTCTCTATGAAGTTCTATTGCTTAAGGGCTAATCTTCCTACCTCTCTCTTTATCATGATATAGAAAGTTTATCCTACTAAGTACCAACTTCAAATCACCATGAAAATGACTCCCAGTCGGTAACATTGAAAGTATGTTTCCACAAATGAAATAGGCGTAAAAGGGCAAAACAGTTTCATGATATCTCACCATATAAAATTCCCAATAGTCCAATCTTCTCTTCGCAATTCCATTTTCAGATTATAAGCCCTGCAATATTTTTCTTGTCCTTGAATCCGAGTCCTGCCTTCTGACAATCCGTTCCTGCAAATTGCACCAATTCAAATTATTAGAAACAGTTCAAGAAAAGAGAATCACCTAGATTAGTCAAATCAGAAGAAAAATACGATCAGGGTGATTTATCTGATCTCAATAGGTCAAGACCATGGAAGAATTTCTCTGTGAAGTGAAAAGAGTAGATTCAGCATCTCAAGCTATTCGGATCCCGGCTATCTTGACAGTGATGGGCTATAATTCTGTACTGTTGATATTAAAAGACTAGAACTAATAATCCTAATCTGCAGTAAAACAGGAGTGGTTCACAATAATTCCAAAAGCTGAAACGACATAAGGGTGTGTCCCACACAATACATCATTACTTTTGATTATGGTAAAGTAAATTCAATTTATAAAGCTGAAATGGTCTAAAAAGTGATAAGCACTGAATCTTTCTGCTTTTAAATTGTCTACCTACATATAACTTGGACAACGATATCTTCAACATAATAAGGTATCTCCACGACAGGAAGTGCACTTTACATGATTCGACAACGATATCTTCACATAGGTATACCATGCGAACTTCTAAATAAATCATTTTCTATATAGACCCACCTTTTTATACCATTTGAATTTCTAAAAAGATCATTTTCTATATAGACAGAAATGTTTATTGACAAACCGAACTCAATTAGTAGCTCTGTGAAAAATAAAAGAGAAAATATTGGCCTAATTCAGCCTGAAATCATTAAATATTAAATCATTTCGAGCTAACCAGGTAGACAAAGCACACCATAAAAAATTAAATACATACTATACCTCCCTTAGCATTCCACCAAAACAAAAATACACTCAATTCAAAAATATGTAATCAATTGTACTCATAGTTTTAAATAACGGCTGTTATGTTATATAACAATCGTTATATAATGATTTCGAAGCATTCTGTTATTATTATTTTAGTATTATAGTAAGTCGTGATTTGCGATAATAACTTTGATTGTTTTTTAACCATTCAGATTTAAAACTATGATTGTACCCTAAAACCATCCGGACACCACCCCACCCGCTAACAATCCAAGACCGTAATTTTTAAACTTTATTGCAACCAAAGCTTGTACAGAGACTGAGGGCAGGCAGTCTCGAAAATGGCGCCCTTTCCCAGTCTCTTTTTAAAAAAAACTGTCACAGTTGCAATAGCGAGTCACAGATTACTGTAGTAATAAAATAGCAGTCGTACCCACTATATAAAGTCGAATAACTGCAACAGGATGCCTAAAACCATTTTATAATAGCTGTTACGTTGTTATTTAAATCTATGATGGGAAGATTCGTCTTCTTCCCTTTTAGATGCCCTTAGCGTCAGAAAACAGCTCAGGAAGAGCTACTACTAAATTTTAAAATGTTCATTTTTCCATGAAACAAAATGTGATTTGTAGTTTCCTTACAGTGAAGACAAAGGGGCATAAGTTTTCTGGTGCAGTAACGAACACCTTTATTGGATAAAGAACTATACAGTAATAGAGTAATAGAAGTGCGCTTCAGGATGATGCAAAAGCTGAACTAAAATAATGTTGAGGGTCCAGAGTGATCATTGTTTATAAACATAAAATGGCCAGAAATGTGATTTGAATATCAGCACAAAATCATCGTACTCAACTAACCTAAGGTTGTCGTGTTCATACAGATGTCAAGTATAAACTTTCAACATCTTCTCTAGTATCCTCTGCATAATAGTTAATATTGCAAGAGCAAATACTGAGAGCTTTTTGACTGGGTTACAAGAGGCTGCAAAGCAAGTGCATTACCTGTCATGGAACTTCCTTCAATGTTTAAAGTTCTGTTTCTTTTAGAGCTGATCTTGCTTCCTCTCTGTGTATCATCTCATCCAAAAATTTCGACAGAGAGTTTAGCTCGTCCTTCACTTCCTGCCAACTTCCTCTTCGGCACTGCCTCCTCTTCTTATCAGGTTTGTAACTTCTACTCTCCTTCTTTGCTTCCATTTCACTAGAAAATTTAATTTTTGCTCTACTGTCAGACTAGCTAAGCATAGGTGGAAATCACACTTTTCCGGCACTCTGTAGGTTGAAGGTGGTTATCTTAGTGATGGCAAAGGTTTGAACAACTGGGATATATATACCCACACACCAGGTAAGGACTCTCTCTTTTTTATATCTAAGAGACTAAAGATTTGTCAATAATTTAGACTCAAAGAGGGCAAAGTCATGGTGAGGCTCGCCATGATCACTGTCTTTTCATATGCTTCAGTTTTTTTTTTTTTTCTCTTTCTCTTTTTATGAAAATCAATAAACTTAGATTAAAAGCTAGCGAGATAGTAGCAGGAACAATGCTACGAAGATTAGAACAAATACTATGTTTAGCTAGACCATCAACTATAGCACTTCTTGCTCTATTCACTCTAGCAAAACAAATCGATCCCAGCTTACTAACAGAGAAAAGTAATATTATTGAAATCACAATCTAACTTCCAAGGCCTATCATATGAACTATTGTGAATCCAACTAATAGCATTCAAAGAATCGAATTCAACAGTCCAATAGAGTTGTTGTGCATTGGATATGCTTCAGTAAAGATGGCAAAGACATGGTGACTTGGTGAGGCTTAGTATGATCTATGGAAATGCTCCAGTAAAGGGGTGAAAACCAGACTTTTCGATCAAGTAGGATTTAGACTATGCCATTTTTATTGCTCTTTACTTCTTCATGTTTTGTAAACAATATCAGTTCATGGGCAAGATAAGAAGAAAAAAGAAGTTACAGAGAAGGAAACGTAAAACAGAGCATCGAAGCCAAAAACAGAGTATATCACACTTTGATATTCTGGTACAAATATATACATGGTACTGTAGCACATATATTACCGTAGCAATACCAACCCAGACTTACAAAAATATTTCGAACAAAATCCCACAAAATAAGGAGCTTCACTCCTTTTAAACTAACCAAGGATTACAAAAGGATACTTAAAGTATCTAGAAAATTCTCGCATTCTAACACTCCTTCTTGAGAATTTTCTTGGAGACTCCAAGCCTTGACAGTGGCTCTTCAAATTTGGCTTTGGAAAGTGCCTTAGTTAGTATATCAGCAATCTGATTTTCCGAGTAACAATGAATCGATTGACTTCACCATTTTTCTCTCGCTTCTCTTATTGCATGAAACTTCACATTGATATGTTTGGTTCTTCCATGTTGCATGGGATTCTTTGCAATAGCTATGGCTGACTTGTTATCAACCCAAATTACAAGTAGCATCATCCGAACTTTGCCTCGAATCTGTCAACAACTTTCTTAACCAAATTGCTTGGTTTGCAGTACTGTTGCCGCAAAGCAATATACTTAGCTTCGCCGAGGATTGAGCCACCACGTCTTGCTTTCTTGAATTCCATGAACATACTCCACTTCCAAATGAGAAAGCATAACCGGAAGTGCTCTTGGAATCATCTATACTTCATGCCCAAATCACTATCTCGTAAATCCTTGGAGCTTATTACTTTCTTCTTTAACAAATCACAAACCATAATCAAAAGTACCTCCGATATATCTTAAAACTCTCTTAGCTGCACCAAGATGAATTTGACTCGGTGAGTGCATAAATCTAGAGAGCAAGCTTGCAGAGAACATTAAATCCGGCCTTGCAGCAGATAAGTACAAAGAAACTACCAATTAGGCTTCTATAAACGAAGCATCCGTTTTGCCGGCAACATCATCCTTTGACAATTTCTCATTCACAATCAATGGAGTTGCCACCGGTTTGGATCTTTCCATATGAAACTTCCTCAAAACTTCCAAAGCATACTTTTATTGTGAGATGAAGATTCCAAGCATCACTTTGGTGAATTTCCATGCCTAAAAAAATACTTCATCTCACCCAAATTGGACATTTCAAAATCACTCTCCATCCGCAACATGAATTTCTTCAAGATTTCATAATTAACACAAACTCCCAAACACTTGAGTATCTATAGCCCTTAAAGGTAGAGCTATATCCACGTAAGATTCATATCTCATCTTTGTAGTCCAAACTTGTCTCTTTTCACATGTGGCACATGAGTATAACACAAACTCCCAAACACTCGAGGTGCTTTACAGCCTAGTTTAACTCCATACCAAGCTTCAAATGGAGTTTTGTCTTTTACAACCTTGGTTGGAAGTCTCGTTTAATAAATATATAGCCGTGTTAATGCCTTCCGCCCAAAAACACTTGGGCATCTTCTTCTCAAATAGCAGACACCTTGCCATCTCCATAACAGCTTCTATTCTTTCTCTCACTCACTCCATTTTGTCGAGGAGAGTAAGTGACAGTAAGCCGATGTTCAATTCTAGTTTCAACACAAAACCCGTCAAATTTAGCCGATGTATATTCAGCTCCATTATCCGATCTTATCACCTCGATGCCGCAATTTGCTTGATTTTCCACCAAAGCCTTAAATTTTGAAACACACCAGCCCACTTCCGACTTTTGCTTCATAAAGTAAACCCAACACATCCTTGTATAATCATCTATGAATAAGATGAAGTACTCGCTTCCCTTCGTAGAAGGTGTCTTCATTGGTCCACACACATCAGCATGGATCAATTGCAACCTTTTAAGCTCTATAAGCCTTGTTAACGTGAAATGGCAACCGCTTTGCTTCCCAAATTGACAGTACTTGACATACATTTTGTTCATCACTAATGACTAGTAAGCCATGAGCTAAGTCTTTCCGATACAAGTGTTTGAGTGCAAGCATAATGAAAATGACCAAAACTCTTATGCAATAACACAGCATTCATCAACAAGAGTGGTATAAGCATGCAACTCGCCTCTTTCCACTTAATTGGAAAGCTTTTATCTCTCATTTTTACACTCATCAACTCACATCCAAGCATTATCAACAATGATGCAAGCACTTATTTTGAAAATGCAGAGAATAATTCTTCTCTAGCATTTGACCCACACTTAACGTACTTTGGCTAATATCGTGTACAAATAATACATCCGAGATATATTTAATACTCGTTGATGTCTCAACAAGAATAACCGCCTTACCTTTGACATCAACCAAGTCTCCATTCCCAATCTTCACTTTGGACTTATATGACTCGATCCAACTCCATGAAATTACTTAATTCAGGAGTTATATGGTTTGTGCAACCACCGTCAATAAGCCAAGTTTCGTATAGTTGTTTGTTGCATGACTCGTAGCTATAAGCAACTCGCTCATGTTGCTACCGCGTTTCAGCCATTTGTGCTTGTTGTCCCCGCTACCCTCGTGGATCTTTTTTATTCTTGCATACCTTCTCTACATGGCCAAATTGCTTGCACGATCCGCATTGCACACCGTGCCTAAACCAAGCAATAATTCTCTCGAATGACTCTTCCTCTTTGCAATGAGGACATGGTGGATACCTCCTTTTTCCACCACTTCTACTTCCTTGGCCCTCATTCTTCTCCTTTTCTTTGTTCTCACCCAACCGCTTCTTCTCTCCCTTCGAGGAGCTTTTCCTTTTTGCTTTGCAAGAAAAGCCTTTTCACTACTCGTCTTCCTCTCTCATTGATCTTCTTTGTTCTTGAGCTTGAAAAGCATGAACAAGCTCGCCAAGGAAATCTTGGTTAAATCCTTTCGAGTCTTCAAGAGAAGAGATCTTGGACTCAAATCTTTCAAGCAAGCTTACGAGAACTATCTCTACAACCCTTTGGTCCGTTAAATCCTCACCAAGAAGCCTCGATTTTGTTAACAACTTCCATGAGCCTATCTACGTATTCTTTGATGGACTCATTATCTTTCATCCTCAAGACTTCAAATTCCCTCTTCAAATTCAAAATTTGCATTTGCCTTGTTCTCGTCACTCCCTATGTACATCTCCTTAAGCTTGTCCCAAGCCTCTTTTAGTGTTTCACAAGCCATAATCCTTGTGAAAATTGATTCTGACACAAGCAACATGAATATAAGATAAAGCTCTTGGAGCTTTGGCTTCTTCTTCTTCATGAGCCCCGATTTGATTAAGAGTAGGATTGTTTCCCAAAGGAGGTATTTGTTTTTCAATTTCAACCCACCGCCACAAACCAAGACCTCTTAAGTGAGCTCTCATTTTGACAGCCCAAACTTGATAGTTGTCACCATTGAAAATGGGGGTGAAAGAGGCATTGTGTTGCTGGAAGCCATGAAAGTTTAAGGTTTGAGTTTTTTAAGGTTTTTTGGAGAGGAATACTTGCTGGTGTTCTCTCTTAGTCACTCATAGGACCTTTAAGATCTTTATTAGCTCTGATACCATGTAAACAATATCAGTTCATGGGCAAGATAAGAAGAAAAAAGAAGTTATAGAGAAGGAAATGTAAAACAGATCATGAGAAGCCAAAAACAGAGTATATTTACATGGTATCTGTAGCACATATATTATTGTAGCAATACCAACCTAGCTTACAAAAATATTTCAAAATAAAATCTCACAAAATAAGGAGCTTCACTCCTTTTAAACTAACCATGGATTACAAAAGGATACTTAAAGTATTTAGAAAATTCTCATATTCTAACATGTTTCCTGTTGCAGGCAAAATAATTGATGGAAGCAATGGAGATATCGCTGTGGACGAATATAATCTCTATCCGGTAAACAGATGTGACCTTTATCGTACCTTTTGTTGCCTGAATCAACAGCATCTGGGGCAGGTTTTAGAATACCAACTTTACTTGGGCCCCATGACATGCATGTTTTACCAAACTAACTATGCTTAGGCCCCATAACATATACTTGACAGTGATGCATAATGAAATCATATCTTGCCTTAATTATTGAAATTAATTTGTAATTTTAAAATGATCTAGACATCATCAAATTAGACAGAAAGCAACTTGTCCATTAAACTAATCATCTGATGTAAGCAAATAATTAGTCATCCATGTGAAGATTCCATCCCTGAAATAATTTTAAAGGGGTGGTGGTTAGAATATTCCATCAAAAAGCTCATCTATGTGATACTGACTACACGGCTTTCACTAAAGATTTA